TCAAATGAAACATGTATCTAAACCATTTAGAAATAATTAACATTATAGATCAGGTTTTCTTTCACTGATCACAAATTATGGTAATGCTTTTGTGGCGCTCATTTCCGGACTTATTTTGGTGTGTTTATTAAAGCACGGTATTGTCAGATCGCAGGGAGTATCTCATTTTCATTTTCATATCTCCAATTCAAAGGGGATTAAATTATCCAATTAAGCTGTTAATTAAAAAGACTCCTACAGAATAAACTGCAGGCTACCAATGACATTTTAAATTTTCATTGTGCTGTGCTCAAAAGTAATTTCCTAAACTCGGAGGAACTCAAAGTTACTTCCCTGAATTTTACTTTAGAAAGTGTAGCCGGCACTTCTAGCTGCGAGCCAAAGCTACTTCTCTTCTTTCCGAACACACAACTAAATTCTATGGCCCAGCTTACCCGCCCACCCCTAGAAGTGAGGTTTGGCAACATAACTGAGGGCTAGCCATTGGAGCACAGAAGCAACACAGGCCATTTCCAGGACGGGACCAGACCTTCCATTCAACAGCATCCATGGCTTCTCCTCCGACACCGGCTTCTTGCTGCATGCGTAGGTGTTGAAAGCGGCAGAATCACACTGTGGAAGGAGGTTGTGTCCCTCAACTCCCAGTGGGAGGAGAAAAGCTCACGAATCACTCATACCATTTGGTATGTAACAAAAACAAGAAATAAATTGGGTTAAGTCACTGAGATTATCGATTGCAACAGCTCGTGTCATCTTAATTAGCAAAACAAGCAACTGCCCTTAAGAGACACACAAATACCTGACAACCGGTTGGAAGCACTACCCACCTCGGGCCCACTGAGAGCTCTATCCGGAAACTGCAGCCAGTGACTCTGGGGTCTCCCAAAACCAATCATATAGGCCATAGCAAGGGAGACTCTAAATTTTTGCCCTCACTCCCCCAAGCCCCTTCTTCTTTTACACACCCAGGGAGCACTCATCAGTTCTGGCATCTCTATGCACCTTTCCTCCTGCCACTATCTATACACAAAAATTCTTATTTCAAGCACCAGCTCTGAAACTCAACACTCTGAGAAGGATAACAGGTCTCGCTCATATATACCCCCCCCCCGCGCCTATTGTCTGGCTCTCCTGCATGGTGCTATAGCACAACACACCCATCTAGTATTTCTCTACCTCTTTGAACATAGCAGGACCAGACGGAGGCATAAAATCATCAACGGGGGGCTCTGCGTGCCCTGGCAGCCTAACCCCAACATGTGCAGCATGAACCCCGCAGTACTCCTCTGGGTTTGCTTGGTTGCAGGCACAGCAGTCAGACTTCCCCTGTCCTGGGCCACTCGGTCACTGGGCAGGGATCCCCAGGGGGTATAAACCCGCACTTCCCTGACAGTGCTGGTGGCATAAGGCCGCCATTCTGGAGTCACGGCCAGTTAGAATGCAGAGCACACAGCAGGTGGGGGGGGGTGCTCGGTAAAAGGGGTCGCTGGCCTCTGGGCAGAGAGCAGCCACCGTGTCCACCCGACGAGAAGTAAATAATTCCCTTCTCTGGGCACCAAAGCACCCCCCGATGTCCCGCTATATAATCACATTCGTCACGCCGCAGGAAGATTCTAACACTTCTCACACCCCTCTCCATGTTACACCAGACTTTTTCAAGAGCAGGAGAATGTAGATGATCCACCTACTGACAACCGGTTCAGTGATGAGAACATGCGGGCGATCAGTTCGTGAGTGCTAACTCCGTGACTGGAAGCTGACGAAATGGCTAAAGGGCAATTCTTGCCTTTAATAGTAATAGCAACTCTCATTTCCCCTTTTGCAAGACCAGACCTATCCTGATTGATCATTTCCTCAGTGAGCTTTCTTTTCTTCAATGGGAACATAATTTAGAAAGAGAAACAATACCCCCGCTGACTTACATTCTGCGCTACACTGACCACCTCACCAACCCCCACTGTCTGCAGAAAAAAAACGACTGCATTCCATGTCACGTGTCACGTTCTTCGACCAATAAAGTTCCTTTACAGCGGGTCTTTGCATGCTTTGGGGGCAAACATTATTGTCTAAACAGAACCAAAGATGTTAATGGAGGTCGAAAACTTCATTTTCTTTGAAAAGAGAGAAACAGAAAATGTTCAGCCAACATTTTATTATCCTTCAAATATTGTTCATATTGTTTCACAAGTACGGGAAGAAAATACAATGACCACTTTAGATTTTTTAAAAAAGCATAATCCAAGCACACCTTTCTTCCATCAGTGGGGCATCGCCACTAGCAACAACAAGAATGTTACTGCATGAGATAATTGTTTCCTTCCAGAATTTAATATGCAATGGAAGCATTATGTGAAAAATATCAAGAAGCCTATCAAATGCTAAATGATCATAGAAATACCAAAATACTAGGTGTAATTAGAAGTTGGGGAACCTAAAGTTTGGAGGGAAATGCAAACATCGGCAGCCCAAAAGGCAGACTCACCTGTCCAGCCTGTGGGGTATTTGACAAGCGATCTCAAAGTTCTCTGCTTCTCCGGCACAAGCATAACCTGTGTGGCAAGTCACAGCTCCTAGTGGCCTCCTAGGGGTGATCTTGGGCTAAATGAGGTAAAATGTATGTGCTATGCTTTAAGCTTCATTGAGGAAAAGCAGTAAATAAACTTTAGGATAATTTATGAATCCTGAGCTTGATTTGTCGTGTTCAAGCCCATCTCATAAAAGGAAAAACTGGAAATACCAGGCTAAGGCTGTGTGGTTGGTGACAAACTCTCAACTTTGGGCGATGGAGATCAGCCCAAACAGTACCACTTTGCATGCATAAAAATCCTTGACTAATCCAGGAAAATTTCACAATTAAACCCTACCTCCTCCGATGCCCAGACAATAGTTCGCAGGCACAACATCTGGCACATGAATCAGAGAAGTGTGTCAAGACAGTCCTAGTTGGAGATCCAATATCTAATTTCCTTTTAATTTACCATAATTATTTCTGTAAAACTTTATGGCTCGACTCCAGGGAATGTGCTTCGCCAGGTTTGTCAAAATCCTGTCTTCCCTTCAGAGCTAGTCTTCGGCGAGCTTCTCCAACCTCCTTTTCCCTTCCCTTCCACTTGCCGTTTACCTTCCTCCCTCTCCTAGTCAGTGTCTGTTTCCTTTAGCAATCTGTACTGAAGAGAAGGGACAGGAATGCCAGCTGAAATTTTCAACAAGAGTTGTGGGTTTGAAAAGCCAGTCCTGTGAGGAAATCATGGTAGCTGGCAGTGTTGCTTCGGCAGACTGCTGTGGGTTTGCTGCCTACAGCCAGGCCACCCTGCCTTCAGCGTCCCGAGCGCCTGAGTTACAGCAAGAGATGGAACAGGTAGCCACGTCATGCGGAACAAGTGCGGTGCATTACCAGAATGACAAGTCTACACTTTTACCAGGCAGTTTCTCTGCCCAGCAGGAGTGTGTTTATTTGAAGTTTAGAAAGAGGACTGTAAAAGTTCGCTGCTATTCAGATAAGCATGACAAACCTGGGGTGATTTTGAATGTCCAAGTACAGAGATCAAACAAGGAGCACATTGCCCAGCGACACCACAGCTGACTCCTCTGACACATGTCCAGTAGCCCCAGCCTGAGGGAGCTTGCATATAAGAACACTCGCCACAGCTGTAGTAAGCCATAGTTTAGAGGAGGAAAAAAGATAACTGTCCTTCAGAAGTTTATCCATTCTGAGAGGAGGAAGTCAAGGGGAAAATCATTCTCCTCTGACTCGGGCAATGTAATTGTTTTCCTCATGATTGTGCCCCTGTGTTTCTCTCCTTCTAGGAGTTCCCATGGTTACAGAAGGAGGTGGTTCATGCTTACATTAAAAAAAAAAAAATGACAAATCACAGGGATGCAAAATGGCTTCCCATGGCTAGGCTAGTCTGAATCTATCATCTTGTTTCTGAGATTTTCTTTTCGGCCCACTTAACCCAGAACCACAAGCACAATGAAGAATGTGAAGGGGCTGGCTATTTTAAGAAACCAGAAATGCCATGTAACCACTTTAAGGTCATAAGATTTTTGCCCTCCACACACACACACACACACACACACAAGTAAGAGGTGGAGGAGGTCACTTAAAAGGATCACAGCCACAGTACAACTCTTTCCTATGGATTCTCTAAAAGACCTGAAGACTGAAAATTATGGTTCTGGAGCCTGTGCAAGGAAATCTTGCTTCAATTAATAGGTTCTACAATGTCTTTAACCATGAAATGTTTCATAAGTTTTTTGTTTTTTTTGTTTTTTTTTTTTTTTTCTGAGAGGATAGGTGACATCAACTGTTGCATGACTAGGAGTTTCCCTTCTTCTGGAATTTAAAAACACATCCTTTCCCTTCTATTCGACAGCCTCAAATCTTTAGCCACGTAACCTTTCTGCCCAACTGTGTCCAAGCTGGTTTGAATGGGTGACCTGCTAGCAACAGAACAGCGAGGTTCATTTTCGTCCTGAAAGAGGCCAAAGCTGAAGGCAAGAATTTCATCAGAATTCATAACACGGAAGTCCACCATAGCTCTAAGATGACTACCTTGTCACTAATAAATGCTGGGTAATAATGATGTGTGAAATCTAGCTTGCTTTCTTCAGAGCAGTAAAACTCCCCAGAGGTGCATGCACATGGGCTCATTGCTGCGTGCTACGAGTTTAGGGGCTGATGTTTTCTCTGCCCATTCTACCTGGGCCCCCTGCAAAGCCAGAGATTAAAACAGTGTGTTCCACACTGAGCGGACTAGCAACACTTGAGCAGGTAGCATTTTAACAAGCAAAGCCTCGGGGTTTATTTTTCTTGGTTTGGTTTTCTAAAGAAACATACTCGGTCCCCTTCCTGAATTCCATGCATTAAGCCCTAAAACGCTGACGAGATATCGTTTCAATCTAAGCGCTACCCAAATCGCAAAGATGCGTTAAAATTAAAGTCCTCAGGGGAACATGGGGCCTAAGTGGAGGATGATGAGTTTCAAGTGCCACTCTGGAGAAAGCAGTGGTCTGGCTACCACAGTCGACAAGAGTCCGTGCCTCGGTTCATTGTGGAATTGGCCGGGCAGTTGAAAGCTTTCTGGAACTCTTCAAAGTTGCTAATTGCACCATTGACCCTGAAAAAGAAAGACGAAGGCATGTGTCACTTCATTCTTACATATCAACAGGTTCTGACTAAAAGTGCAGCAGCATCTTGCTCAAAGGATGTTGCCTTTGTTTCATCTGTCAACAGGGAAGATAACTGAAGCCCAAGATGGTGAAGGAAATCGTGTCCAGCAGTTACTCCCAAGCATTTCCACTGCAAATATTTGCATCACAGAACTAACTGGCCCTCAGGTAAATTTCCATGGAAATAAATAGAGCTGAGACTAACCGGTACCTCTGAATACCGGGAAAATACTGCTATTAATCACCAAGCACCTGCGAGTTCCTATAAACTGGAGGCTATGCAACTCCTTTAAGTTGTATATTTCTGTAAATTTACAAAGTCTTATAAACTTGACTTTTCTACAAACTTATAGCAACTTTTTGGGAAGGTTTAAGTGGTAGAAAGTATACATGTCTCAGTGCAAAGTTCACCGACTTGTTCATGTGTCTCTACCCATGTTAAGATGGGTCAAGATGGGGTATTTCCGGCATGGAAGAAGCTCCCTTGTGTGACCTACCAGTAGTGCCTAGATGCTGTCACTTCTAGGCTGACCCTTCCCATCATGGATTAGTTTTGCCTGTTTTTGTACCTCCTGTCACCGGAATCACGCAGCGTGTTCTTTCCCTCAGTGTTGTCTCAATAAGAATCACCCAGGCTGTTGCACTTCCAGCTCTCTTTAAGGAATTCAGTCCAATCTACAAAGCTGTTTTCTCTCAATTCCCATTAGCTCTGAAGGCTCATATTTATCTAGAATTCGGTTCATGCCACCAACAAATTAATGAGTGGTGGCTAGTTGTCATTGATGAGTAGTGCTTTACTGGAATTAACGCTGAGATCTGGTGTTCTTGCAAGTTCCCCGATTGCAGTGAAGACTGCAGATTTTTCCTCTGCACTCTTGATTGTAACTGCCTTTTGGAAATGCTACTTCCGCTGTGTTATTTCTGCACTCCAAATCTATAGCTATTGCAGACCTCACTAACAAGCCACAAAACTTGCCCCGCCCGCACCATCTATTTCTTACTCAACTACGTACGTGTTCAAAGGGTTGACTAAAGACTGAACATTCTCAGTCATTGACTGATTCTTCCCTGATGACTTTGTTGCCTGTGGGCACTTGAATGAATGTAATGGCCCGTGTCCAAAAATGGCCCAAACCTTTTGCGTTGCAGAGCTGGGATGTATGCGTAGGGATGGATGCCGCATGATGGGATTTACCCTGGGCAAGTGTTAGAGGTAGAATTCAGTTGCTGATTAGTAAGCACGCTCTGCAAATTCTCAGCTAAAATACAACACCACAGGCAACTAGTTAGTAAAAGGAAATTAGTTCCTAAGAACTTATGTGGTGAGTAACTCGTCTACTGTGTGTTTCCATCTGCAGCCTTTGTCAGCGGGAGCACATCTGAGTGCATGAGAGGCTGTCACCGCTCGTGACGGTGTAGCCTAGTGGGGGAGAATTTCCAACACAGTGATTAGATTTTTGTGCTATTGGGTAATTTATAGTCAAGTTCTGAGGTACTTCTGAGGCAAGGTTTTTCTGAATAAGATTTTAAAATGCATGAGGAACTTAAGATGACTTGCTTGCCGTATGCTAATGATTCGTTTAATCATTAAATAGAAAGATATTCAGATAGAATGTGTTCTAAGCAAAGAATGAATGAATGGTATGATTTTTTTCATTTCCTTCAAACTATGCTAGAAACCTTGCACAGGGCAAGTAACTTTATATTTACTTCATATGTTATTCATTCTGACAAATAAGATCAGAATTCATAATCTTTTTCTCTTTCTCTATAAACAATTGTTTCAAGTTACAATTTCAAACAAAGGCCACAATGTGGAGCATATGACTCTAGAACTGCACTGTAACAGCCAAAATCACCATCTCCCCTTCTTTGTACTTGGAGTTACCCTGAAGGTGGGTGCTTAGCTGTGTCTGCTGATCAGCTGCATGAAGGAACAGGAAGCACCAAGCAGGATATTCTATAGCACAAAATAAGCCAGAGCTCTAGGTGTCTTAAAGCACAGCACATACGATGTCATCCTCTGCTAAGAAAAGAGAGACGTGGAGCCCTGGTGGCGCAGCGGGTTAGAGCACAGCACTAAGAAGCTAAAGCTACTTCCGCATGAGTTCAATCTCCGCCTGCCCCGAAGGAGATCCACATGGCGCGGCAGACCTCTCCTGACCGTCCCACTGCTCCCCTCAGCAGTGTACTTCCTCGATCTGCCTTGTTCTGCTCCTCACTCTGTCCCTGGTGAATGCTCTCACCCTCTGCATCTCTGGCCTGTACCCCAGTTCTGTATGCATAAATAAATAAATCTTAAAAAAAAAAAAGATGATATGGGCCCTCCCTGGTGGCGCAGCGGGTTAAAGCACAGCCCTAAGAACCTTAAGCCACTTCCGCATAAGTTCGATCCCCGCCTGCCCCGAAGGAGATCCACATGGCGTGACAGACCTCTCCTGATCCACCCACTGCTCCCCTCAGCAGTGTTCTTCGACAATCTGCCTGTTCTGCTCCCCGCTCTGTCTCTGGTGAATCCTCTCACCCTCCGCATCTCTGGCCTGTACCCCAGTTCTATTTGAATAAATAAATAAATCTTTTAAAAAATGATAAAAGAAAAGAGAGATGTTTTGGCCAGCAGTAGAAGAAAGAAGGTGGAGCGATCCAGCAAATATTCCCATTTGCTGAGCCCCCAGCTCACTCCTGCCCCCACAGAATCCCGCCTTTCAAACACTGGGAGGTAATAAATGGGACTTGCTCTGAACACTATTGTCTGGAGTCCACATTACAGACCTCCTGACGCAGCACTAGCAGTGTGTGCCAATGTCCACGATAGAAACTTCGCTGAGAGCATGCTGCCTAGATCAGCTTCTTACTAATGACAGAAAAGGTGCCCAGTTTCTGCAGGGCCAGAGTGTCGCGCCTGCACAGTGAAGACAGCACTGTTCACAACAAACTGCTGTTCCAATGACCTATTTGGGGGAGCGCCAGGTGATGGGTTAGGGAAGGAGGAGGCTAGATGCAGCTAAAAACTAGTGCCCCATTTGCCTCTTTACCTAAACTGAGGTGGGCTGTGAGCACCAATTTGGACTTGTTCTCGGGCCGCTTCTGGTCTGTAGGAATTGCACCTCACCTAGAAAAGAAAGGCATCCTGATGATTCCGTTTCACTCAAATCACACATCTTCTATTGCCTTAACTGTTTCACGTTATACAAAAGAGTAATTTTGGAATCAATGGATGACAAACAGTTTCCGTAGATAAGACAAAACCTTCGCGAGTAGTAACATCCACTATTCTCAGCTCCAGAGTAGTTTTATCATTGTGAATAACTGCACAATTGGAGTAAATTAGGAAGATTTCCAGACAAAAGCTTTAGATCAAGAGAACAGTGTACATGTCCAAGAGGCAAGGAATATATTCAGTCAATTAACGTGATGCTTAGATGAGCTCTTCTCAAAGTCAACCATACTCATTCAAGCCACCAAGATGGATCCACCATCCACTATTCAGATGGCCAGGAGAAGTTAGTTCTTTGCACCGACTGCCTTGCCTGCCTGACCCTGGACTGCACCTTGCATAGGACACTTCTCTAGCTCCTCTGAAGTCAGCAATGGCTATATGACTTGCTCCGAACAGTGAAGTGTCAGCAGAAGGTTCATCTATCTCACCTAAAAACAAGTTCCCTGGCAGGCGAAAGACTTCATTGCCGTAAGAACAATTTAAAATGCGGCATGAAGGGGCAGTGCACATCACCGCAGGCTTCTTTCCTGCCCTGGTGGTGACCATGGATGTGCATGCTCAGAGCGACACTCCAAACCCAGAACCATGTGGGATCTGGAGCATGAACAAGAAATAAATTCGCCTGGTTCCTGCACTGCGATCTACTTAATTCTGGCCCCAAGTGTGTTCTGAAGCGTGAATAGAACTAGGCCACGTGAATATGATGGGAGAATTCCAAATGGAGGGGGAAATGGAAGCAACGACACATTTGAGCAGAACACATTTGAACAAAAAGCAAGACATTCAGCTCAGCAGGACTGCGAGGTACCGAGTGAGCCGCCATGGAAAATCAGGGGCGCAGGAGGAGGGTGCCAGGTTTCTGAAGGTCTGTGCAACAGGCTAGTGTTTACGTTACATGGAAACATTGGTTTTGAGCAGGAAAGTGATAAAACCATATATTTTTTAAAAAGTTATCTGGCAGAGGTATTTAGGAAGAGGGGAAAACTAGAGACTGGTCCGATTCTTTGTGGGCCCCAGGAAGATTCTCACGAATGACCCGAAGGAAGCAGAGTGAGAATGGCGAGGGGTAGAAAGAGAAGAAGAGCATCTGGGGGGAAAGCTGACAGGTTGTGCTACAACAGGGATACAGGAAGCAAGAGAGGTAACGTGATGCCATCGCTGCGGACAAAGACTGTCAGTCACCGTGTTCTAAATTTGACTTTGAAGATGCCTTGGAACATATTTTTTCCTTAATATCTCCAGATGCTAGCTAAGTGTAACTGTCTCTGGCATTTGATTTTACCTCATTTTTAAATGCTGTCTTATATTCTTAAATTTTTAATATGTAGTACTGTCTTAGCTTCCTATGTCACTTAAGGGATTTCTGAAAACACATTAAAGTTGTTACTGTTTTCCTAATACCTTCCCAGGAGGGAAAATGACTTCACTATCCCTATAAGCAGACTTACTTCAATGTGCAAAAGATTGAAAATCTCCTCATTCTGTCAGGAGGAAAAGCTCTAAGATAAATTTCTCATTAGTGATATAAAATAGCTTTCCATTTTTTCCCCCTAAATCCCGTTAGTTTAAAATAAATTAGATATGGTTGAGAATTTGAGACACTTCAAAATTATGACGGCAATGTTATTCTCAGTTTACTTCATCTACAAAGAGCTATTGCAGGCCAGGATATAACTGGTAAGAACTGGTGACCTTGTACTTTGTCTTCTGAGCTGGGGCCAGCAGACATTTTTTGGTAATGAGACAGACAGTAGACATTTTAGGCTTTGCAGACCAGAAGGTCTTTGTGGAAACTACTCAGCTCTGCTGTTGTGGTACAAAACCAGTCACGCACAGTATGTACATGAAAGAGTAAAGCTGCCTTCCAATAAAACCGTAGTTATAAAAACAGAGAATAGGCCATATTTGGCTACTGAGTCCTAGTTTGCCAACCCTTGCTCTAGAAAGTTCTATTTTGTGTGTGCTTATTTTAGACCTATGATCCAGTAATGACCCAAAAGAATCTCTTTAGCTGAACTGTGTTCATTCTATCTGTTCCACGCAGATATGAAAATGTCAAGTGTCCTCAGTATTGCCAACACATTTTATTGGGTGTTGTAAAGACACATAAGTGCTGGGATCCAAAGCTCAGCTGTGGAAATAAAACTAAAAGTCTACAACATTTGGCAGACAATTAAATAGCCAATTGCATGGTCATGAGGGAAAGCACAAAGGAGTTTTTTGGTTTTTTTTTTTTAATGAGAATGGGAATCTTTGGGGACGTTTGTGGAAAGTGTGGAAGAGGTAGAACTCAACATGGATTCTGACAGAGGAAGAGGGGGTTAAATAATCTGAGAAGAAGAAGGATCATGTTATAGAAATAAAAGCAATAGCAAAAGCCACCTAGACAGTGCTGGCCCATCACACTGTGAAATGGAAGTGAGAACACTGGCTACTGGAGAACCTGTAGAGCTCAAGGAATTCAGAGCTGGTCAGGCAGAGGTGGGTCAGGATGAGGAGAACATTGAAAGTCAGCTAGAGGCCCTCCCTGGTGGCTCAGAAGGTTAAAACACAGCACTGCAAGTGAGCCACAGCCGCTTCAGTGCGAGTTTGATCCCCAGCCCCGGAGGTGACCCCCATGGCGTGGCAGACCTCTCCTGACCCGCCCGCTGCTCCCCTCAGCAGTGTACTTCTTCAGTCTGCCTGTTCTGCTCCCCACTCTGTATCTGGTGAAGCTTCTCACAGCCCTTGCACCTCTCGCCTGTACCCCAGTTCTGTAGGGATAAATAAATAAATTTTTAAAGAGAGAAAGGAAAGTCATCTAGACGTGTTAGGCACTTGGGAGCCACTGAGGTTCCTTCAGCAAGTCAGTAATGAAGTGGAATTGGTATTTCAGTGACACGTAAGACAGACGGGTGGAAATATGCCAAAGTTAGGAGAACATGCCTTGAGGCTGTTCAGATAATCTAGAGCAGAAGAGCTCAAGGACTATAGATGATGAGAGGGTAATACAGACAAAGAACTTGAATCCAAGGAGCAGTAAAAAAGATAAAACATCTATGTTCAGTGAACTGTGTCATAAAAACAAAGCTATGTAAGTCAGATAAAACCTAAGAATCCAAGTTTTCGAGGCAGAAAGACTCAGAGATGGAGTGGGGGCTATTGCTGGAAGGGGGAAACTAAAATGGAAAGACATTTTGTTGATGACTCCAGTTTTGTTATTGACATACTAACTAATGTATTTAGTACTATCATATCATTTTCAGGGAAAAAAAAAAAAAGATACCCCAAACCTCAGTGGGTAAGGCTCTTCAACCAGAACTGGCTGAAGACAACTTAGGAATAAATGTGCTTACTGAGTAGCAAATGCAAAGACTGAGGAACAAAAAGTTGTACTATGGAAACTTCCATCTAGATTTGAACAGAGATGTGCATTTGCCCACCGTGAGGCCACGTGTCAGAACCCTCAGCCGCCCCTCCCTGACTTCCCTGGAAATGAGGCCTACGCGTCTGTGACATAAGCCAGCGCAATAACCAGTAACAGAGAATAGGCACTGGCCTCACGAGTCAGAGATTCCAGCTCAGAACTGTCTTTAGTGTACGTGCACGTACGTCTTCCTTTCAATGTCTGACCAGAGGACCCATTAGACTCATAATAGTGACATGGCTCTCCTCACCTTTGTTGCAGTTTCTCAGCTCTAGCAGTCTTCCATATTCATTTGGAAGTGGGGAACGTGGCCGTGAGGGTCCCCGACAGGTTGAGAGTGGCGGACAAAGGCAACAAATGAGGCAAAGTAGAAGGAGGGGTGCAGGAAAAGGCGGGGCCGTGAAAGCCAAAGAACGAGTCACTAGAAATGGTCGCAAATAGCAGGAAATACATTAAGAAGGCAGGACACAGTAAAGAATTACCAAACATGTCAACGGAGGGCTGGTCACTCGCTTGATAAAAAATAATTAATAAATCTCCACCAAATCAGGTAATTACGTCCCATAGGACTTTAAGGTGAAACATACGCCCCCCCCAAAAAAAAGTGGAAAGATACTTTGAACTGAAGTCAAAGGTATGCTGTTGAACTTTTGTTCCAAATCTTTGATCAAGGGAGCACATGAGCACCCCACGTTTCTGGTCTGCTACCCCTTCCTCGGTCTACTCACGTGAGCGTAGCTCAGGAAGAAGAGCTGGTTGTTGGTGAATTTGATGCCTGGCAGGAGAAGCTCCTCAACTCCCTGCCTCTTGTCATCCACCCACTTCCGATAAGCCTGACGAGAGAAGCGGCATCAATGAGCCTCTGCAGTAAGGGCACACTCTGCCCTCATCCAGCACAGATATTAAATGTCCTTGCCCATGTGCAACCCTCATCCTGCCCAGTTTTCCTTTAAAGCAAACACCTGGAAATGCAAGTCAATGTCCGACTGCTTAACGGTGAGGTGGACTCACCTACGAAAAGACTTTACATGCGCTATATTTATTGAAAGCAGCTGGACCAAAATATTCAAATAGCAAATAACTCGAAAAAAAAAAGAATAAAGGAGATGAAAGCTGTTCTTTCCATGTCCTCCAGAGAACAAATAAATCTAACCCAGTGGCAAAGCCTCCTGGTATAAAATTTAGGAGTCAACATATTGCCAATTTTTAATTTTGCCCAGTAAAAAAGAACACAATCAGCTTCTGCCACGGTCCTTTAATAAAATCAATATATTTTCACAAGAATACAAGACAGATACTGCCTCAGAATACTAGGCTGGTCTTCACACTGAATGCATTGAAGCTTCATGAAAATCTTTCCACATCATTCCTCTGTTTCTTGTTGAACCGCAGACCATGGCTGATGAGAACACTGTGATGGACCTGTTCCTGGCCCACTCTGGCAATAATTTAGACGTCTGTTATTTCGCCAGGAGAGAGCAGTACTCGAGGAAAAGTCATAGGAACCTAACCCCGAGGAGATGTCCGTGCCCTGCTCTGATATTGCTCTGGCTCTATCTTCTGCAAACTATCCTTTACATGCATGATTAATTGCAAATATTATTCTTTAGGGTGACCATGCACCTCAAAAAAAAATAGACAGAAATGTAGCTCTGTTCATATAATAGAGTGAGAGTCAAGGGGGAAATATATTTCTATTTACAGAAACATAGAGAAACTTATAGGATATACAGAAATCTAACTCCACAAAAACATGTCTCTGTAAAAATGAGGTGCACTATACAATGTTTTCCAGTTTAATTTTTTCAAATCACAGCAGATGCAGCAGCACATACCCTAAAAGCTTCCCGTAGTCCTCCATTATCGGCAATATTTTCTCCCAAGGTCCTCTTCCCTTTCACCTGCCCAAAGAAAAGGAAAAAAAGTGTGTTTCACAGCCAACTGTCACTCAGCAAGAGGCATGAACTTGATTGTAAGAAAAAGTGTCATCTTTTAAAGAGAAAATTACAGTCAATAAATCAGAGAGAGTTGTGATGTATGGTGAGATCGCAGAGTAACCCGCAGCAAGGTGCTCATGAGAGAACCATTTCTACTTTATAAAGCTACGCGTTTTTCTCTCTCACCCACCTCTTTATTCTGACCAAGTCATCAAGCACCAATAAAATATTAACAATATTCTGAGTGACTCTGGTTTAAGAGGGAGAAAATAGAAATGTCGATATACAGGTTTCTTTCCCTGATTAACTAACGTAATTTGAGTTTTCTTTTCAGTATGATTCTATGTCAGAATTTACCATCTGCTCAGGAACAAGATTTCCAGACCAACTATCCCCATTTTGCCTTCAGCAACTTCCATGCAAAATTCAAAGGAGGGCGGGTCTCATCCGAAACAAAAAAAAAGGGGGGGGGAGGGTTGGACAGCACAGCCCGCAAGGCAGAGGCTTGCAGTGGGCAAGACAGCCAGCCAGCCAAGCAGGGCAAAGGAATTCCTGGGTGCAGTGGAAGACTGTTTGCTAAACACTTCCGTGGTGTTTCAGGAAAAGATCCTCTAGAGCACTACAGCCCACGAGTCCAATCCGACCGGCTGCATGTCTTTGGAGGGGCTGCAAGACTGGATTTTACCTTTTTGATGGTTCGGGGGGGAATATTGAAAGAAGGATGTTTGGGGACTGTGAAAATGATGTGAAGTTCAAATGTCAGGGTCCATAAATGAAGCTTTACTGAAACACAGCCACGCCTATTTGTGTACAGACTGTCTGTGGCTGTTCTCTGGCTACCGTGGCAGAGTTGCCACAGAGCCTGTGTGGTCCACAAAGCCCAAATTACTGACTGTCTGTCCCCTTAGAGAAAAGGTTTGTCATGAGGGGCAGAATGCCCCCACCTCAAAGATACCGATGCCCTAATCACTACAACCTATGGATGTTACCTTGTGTGGCAAAGGGGACTTTAAATAAAAATCCGACTAGGTTAAGGAGGTGGCGGTGGAGACACCACCTGGATTATCCAAATGGGGCCACTGGAACTACCAGCTTCCCCTATACACAGGAGAAGGAAGGGAGGAGAGTGTGTGAGACAGGGGTGGTGTGAGAAGCCTCGACAGGGCACTGCCCACCTGGAAAACAGGAAGGGGGCAGAAGCCAGGAAATGTGGGCAGCCTCGAAAAGCTGGAGAAGGCAAAGTCACAGTCTAACAGAGTCTCCCCAACAGTTCTGGACAGAAAAGCAGCCCAGAGGATGCCATAATCCTAGCCGTCTGAGAACCGGGACAGACAGATACAGCTGTAAAGTGGTAAGTTTGTGTTGTCTTAAGTCTCGGCCTTTTCTCTATATTCACTCATGCTTGAATTTAATCTTCCTCGCTCCTCTAAGCTGCATGTGAATGAGAGGCTTTGGGGTAGCCACATCCCGCTGGTTCTTCCTACCCTGTAGCACCTTAGTAGGCCGCATGGCCCTGGGTTGGCCTTTCAGGACTCAGCTGCTAACGGATGGCGTGTGTGGTGCTCCCTCTAGGCACCACAAAGTTTCGGGCCGAGAGGACTCGCCTCCACAGCAGAGTCAGAAAAATAAAGCATGGCCCTTTCTATCCACAAAGGAAGCGCTTGCCTCTCCTGTGGGAAGGAGACTGAGGCTGTTTTCTGATGGTTGAGCGCCTTCATGCTGAGATAGGCATGCCCTTCCCATCGTCCTTGTGACAAAGGTACACATTTGTCAGAGTTCAGTTTCAAAACCTGACACTTTGACCAAAATGGATGTTGTGGAGTAGTTCCTCCTCACATACAGGCATAAAGTGAATTTAGAGGCATAATAATATCAGGGAAGAGTATGGATTGGGGAGTCATATTGATCTAGCTGGAATCTAGCATGGATTTTAATTGCCAAGTCACAGTCTCCACATATGTAAAGTAAGCTGGCCAGTCAGCTTGTGTTTGTTGCAGTGAAGTGAAAAGTGGAGCACCCATACCTGCATATGATCATCCAGGCAGTCTGCTTTCCCTTTCTCCAAGACACCTGCTCTTCTATTTTATTTTTCAGTTCACAAATCTGTCACTATGGTTTTGCTTAGATTTGGGTGCCTGTGAGTGTGTCACAATGTATTCGCATTAAGAACTCCCATTTACTGAGCATTTAGCATGTGTCAGGCCTTATGCTAGGGCCTTGCATTGCTGCACTCGTCTTATTCTTCTAACAAACTGATGAGGTCAGAAAGAGTTACCAGATGACACTCTGAGACTCGCGAGTGTTAAAGAACCTGCCCACATTATTAACACTTGGAATTGGTGAGGCCAAGCTTTGGACCTACATCTATCTATAACTGTAGATCTAACAGCACATCAACAGTTTACACGGAACCTGCTTTTGTTCACCCTTCTATGAGTCAGTGGTCCTGGTCAACTCAGACTCACCCGTTCAAATCAGTGAGGTTTCATTTCCATGATTTCAACCTAAGCAGTAGTTTCGAAGGAATGTTTTTTAAATGATCTGGAGTATAGATGTAGAAGAATTCTATTGCCTCTCTTTGCTCTTGGACTTTCTACATTAATCTCAAAGCAGGAAAACGATTCAGGCCCAGGGGTCTCAAACTTGACCCAGTGTCAGAACCACCTGAGGGCTTGTGAAAAGACAGGCTGCCGGCCCACCCGCCGAGACCGCGGAGGGGTCTGGACTCGGACTCCGAGTTGGCATTCCGCACGAGGTCCCAGGGGAGGCCGAGGCTCTGGGTCTGGAAACCACACGTGGAAAAGCAATGGGCCACAAGCAAGCTAACCTCGAAGCGAGGCAGCACGACCCGCAGGCTGCCCCTTGACCTCAGCTGGACTCACATTTAAGCCAGCTTTCCTCCAGTAATAGTTGCTATACTGGTTAACCATGCACTTCGTTTTTTCTTTAAACTTTTCCTCCGAGTCAGCAGACCACCACGGATCCAGGTTGCCATTTTTATCGTATTTCCTACCTAGAGACAGGAAAAGGAAAAGGACATGTGTTTTATTTATGGACACCAATTTCTTTCTCGTCACTTTCCCTCACTTTGACAAGCCGTGAAAGGGGAGGCCCGGCCGCAGGGACCACTGGTGGGGGCAGTTCCTGCCTTCTCTGCGGTGCCGCGGGCTCATTGTCAAAGGGGAAGGTAGAAGAAAGGGGACTGAGAAGGTTCTTTCTGTGTAAGGAACAAAGAGCATTAAAAATATGATCCATCAACTCATTGCACACATTATTCTTACCCACTCAAAGATTCCTTGTTTTCACCTGATCTAACACAAAATGTTCTCTGGATTATGAAATGAAATGACTTCATTCAGAAAGCTCATGCAGGGAGTCAGAGCATCACGGCCAGTGAAATTCCAAACGATCCAGAGAAACAGCCAGGGGAGTCGTTCCCGGCGAGCCACCCAGGCCCTGACTCAGCCGATGGGAGTGTGTTTCCTCCGAGTTGCCAGACCAAGAGACACATAAAACCTCTGTTATGAATCATTCCACAGACATCAGGGGGATGGAAGGCCTGTCTGTCCTGCTGTGACGGGAAGGTCGCTCTAACAAGAGAGCGTGAGGTTCCTCCCTGGTGGCACAACGGGCTAGAGCACAGTACCATGAAGCTCAATCCCCGGCCAGGGATGTGACCCGCATGGCGCAGCAGACCTCTCCTGGTCTGCCCTCAGCAGTGTGCTTCATCAGTCTGCCTGTTCTGTTCCCCACTCTGCCTCTGGTGAATCCTCGCAGCCCCTGTGCCTCTGGCCTGTTCCCCAGTTCTGTGTGAATAAATCAATAAATCTTTAAAAAATAGAGAGAACTTGGGACAAGAATGGAAATCTCCAGAACATATGGAAGAAGTGTATTTATTAAGTATGTTTCTGTTACTATAGAGTCACCCTTCGTTTTCTCTACACCCTTCAAAAAAAAATTTTTTAAAGTTCAGGTGTATTTGACTATCTCTTAAAGTCAAGGTCACCACTGGTTTGAATTTAATGATGCGGAGAACACTTTATTTGGGCCTCCAAGAAAGTCTGATAAGCAAAGGTCATCATTGGAACAACCCATAACTCTTCCGCAAGGCTGGGCACCATTTCCGTCACCCCCTGGGAGAGCCTGTGCCTCACCCACCACCGATCAGTCACCAAGTAGTTACCAGGCATGTGTCGATATGTGTGACACACTGTTCTGAGTACTGCTTACACAGTAAAATTGCCATCATTAGATTCTGTCCTTTGAGGAAGACTCCAGAAGGCCTCCAGAAGATTCTAGAGGAAAACTCTAAGTTTCCCAGAAAGAATGACCTAGACTCAAGAGAGGACTACTGGCTTTCATTTCTTTCCTGTGACTGACTGACTCTTCTCGCAGCCAGACTAAACCAGCAAGGACAGGCAGTGTTGCGCTGGGGTGCAAGGCAGCTCCATTTGAACAGGAAGGGAAGACCAGGGAAGAGAAAAACAGGTGACTATAGAGGCTTGGTGGGAATGGTAGAACTGTCCAGAGCAGATGACCCAAAAGGGCCTCTGGCCCAGGGGGGCAGGCATCCGAGAAAGGACGCTGGACATGCCAGAGAGACAAGGGAGAGGGGGGCCCCTTCTCTACAGCGCTTCCTTGGGCCCGCCGGGCCCACGAAGCTGCCTGCGCATCATCATGTGGGGATGGGTGTGGACGGAGCGGTGACTTGCTGCTAAATCATAAGCTTGAGAGATTTCATGTGGCTTTCTAAATGCTCCAAAGTGAAAGGAATGCTGAATAAAAATGAAGGTGACACTCCAAGGGCAAATCATTTCTTCTGCTGATGCTATCTTCTGCTCCTTGCTTTCCCTGAAATGTCATCAAGTTACATAGCATACTCTATAACATAGCACTATTACAACAGCATAAGCCTTTAAAAACAACTCTGACTATAGGCCGGTATAAAGAAAAATAGGGATTAGGCATTGCGTAATACTTGAAGTAGCATAAAAGAACCAGCCCATCAAGCTCCTGCAGAATCCTAACTCGCTGAGTCCTAACTTGGCAGCCTGCATAATCACCATGGGAGCAGAGCCCACACTTACAGAGAGAACATCTCAAGGTGATGGATGAAGAAATGACCAAAAGCAATAAAAACTATAAAGCAATTCCTATATAACCATTGTGGCAGCTATGGAAGCCTGATCAAAATGCAAAGCTAATTCCATTGGAATTATAAGGTGTTTTTTTTTTTGTCATTCTACCCCATGACCAATGGAAACAATTATTGTTATTGCAAACTATCACCACAAGACACAGAGGAAAGTTTTCCACCAGCAATCATACCACTTTGGATAATCTTCAATCCATGAGGATGGCACAATTAACATCCGTATAATCAGTAGTATGATAAAAGCAGCAGCTAATACAGTGAGCCAGACTTACCATTATTGTCAAATCCATGTGTAAATTCATGTCCAACAATTACTCCTATAGCACCATAACTCAGAGATCTACGGCATAAAGACATAATTTGGACAAAATTACAAGCACAATCTCAGAGCACGATCCTTTACATTTTTTTTTCAATGAAAAGCAAAGATAAATCTGTTTTCTAATAATCGCAGTAATAACAATGTAATAGTCACACCCAGAAAATTGTAAAAAAAAAAAAAAAAAAAAAAAAAAACCTCTCAACACACCCTCCTTGAGGGATGTGAGAGAGAGAGATGACTTCTAAAGCCCCTTCCAGCCCTAGGACTTCCACGCTCCTCTATCCGCTCCTGAACTTCATATTTATAAACACCCAAAGCAGCAGCAGGGTCTGAAAAGACTGTGTCAGCAAACATGCCGTTTATATCTTTTATCTGATAACCTGTTGAACACTCACTATAAACTTAGAAGCTTAGAAGTTAAATTGTTTTCCAAATGGAGTGAGGAAAAAAACGGGAGTAGAACAGAGATTTAAAAGGGAGCGCTCCACTTCGGAAGGAAGTCACGTTTCTTTGCTTCTGTGACAGGCAAGTTCACAAGTCGAGGGCAGAGACTGTGAAGTCTTAGCCAGATGTGGAAAGGTGGTGTCGTATTTCTCTTCACCTCCAAGGAGGCACAGGGCAGACTATCCACAAGGGATAATTTCACCCACCCCTGAACGCAAGAGGCAATCTATTTTTCGCCAAGCCTGGAAGGGACCACAGGAGGGTTGAGTGACAGCCTGGGCCTTAAAAACCCAAGAGCTTTCATTTCTTGCCGCCTTGGAAGGGCGCTGCAGTGTCAAGAGGTTGGGCTCACCAACTGGAGAGAGAACTGTAAAGGAAGAGCGAGGCCCAGTGAAGCCGTAGCCATTCAAGCCAACCCGACTGGGGCGTCAGACTGATGGCTGAGCCAGCCATCTTAGATCCTCTGGCTGCAGACAAGCTGCCCCAGTCAACACCACGTGGAACAGACACAGATTGCCTCAGCTTAGTCCTGCCCAAATCGCAAAGCCATGAGTGCCTGACAGTGCCTGTTACGTAATTAACAGAGACCTGAACGAGAGCATAGCACATGCATGATGTGTGAAGAAAGCACAAAGAGGGCTCCCGTCTTCTCTCTTCACGGCAAGTTCAGGAACACCAAACCCTTCTCTCCTTGGTTACTGCTAGACCCTCGCGACCCAGGACACAGGAAGAAAGCAGCAAAGGTTAACTAAGCGATTAATTTTACCATTTCATGCAAGTGCACAATGGGGCTTAACTAGTCACAGCTAATGTGCGATGAGAGTTACAGACAATTGAAGGTCCCTGTTATGAGGCTTCTGCCTGAGATTTGCAATGCTGCTAAAAATATTTCACATTTGGTTCCTGACATGCAACATCAAAGTCTCCCAGCAAATAGATAGGACCCATAAGTGGAAGGAAGGAGAATTTTTGAAGCAACATGTTATTACAGGACATAATGATCCTTAACATGCTAATTGTTTGTCTCTACTATACCCAAGGAAGTGCTGTAAGATTTAATTTTTCCCCTTGGTAGCAATTCTTTCCTTTGTTATTTCTTTCCTGCAAGGTAATTTGCATTTGAAAAAATGCTTCCTACTGTTTTTCCATCATTGCAAACCTTCATTAAAGAAGTAAGAGTAAAATTATGCATTTCAATCATACAGCTATCATAGCAGTAAGGGACAAAGTTGTAATTTTACATAATGCTAATTTTTGCAGCACTAACTAGTCCTGCTCAGCCCGTAACATTTCCTTTCCCCAAGCCTCTCAGCCTTGAGAACAGTACTCAGTTCCCTATAGCCCTCGGCCAAATGCTGTTGACTGGATGAATTCAAGGGATGAACAGTGGAAGCTTATAGGAGCTGTTCTGCAATAAATGTCCCTTAAGAGGGACTGCTCCAACGAGCTTCCTACTTGCAAAAGGAATAGAGAGTGCAGAAAATGATTGAATCATTCTAAGTTCCAATTCACATTACATAATCGCAATCCTCTGGACAAGAGACAAAAGGTAATTTTACAAGGCTAAGCCTTACCATGATGGTTCATAATAGTAAATTCACATCTTCCATTTCATCAATGGACATTGCTTAAATTAGCATGTCATCAAAAAATAAACTCAGACGCCTTTTAAAATAGCCAGCCACAGGAAGGCTTCTGCACAGAAAATCCAAAAATAAAATAGGAAAAAAGATAAAATCGGGAAGACAAGTTTTCCACCTACTCAGTTTCTCTTTTGTTCCTAGTACTCCGTGGGTTTAATATATGTATCGAATTTTCTGGCAACAATGACACAACCTTAACACTGTCAGCAAGTCTACTCTCTGATTTAAAAACTGATAAAAATCACAGAGTTGGACGTAGCTTTGAGGTCATCGGAGGCCTGGGTCCTCCCTGCAAAAACCCATTCTAAGGATTATAAGACTTCTCCATAAACAAGGCTTCTCCGTGGGCATTTCCAACAGCGAGCAGCTTACTCCCACAGCTCCAAATAAAGCAGCTCTCCCTAATGTTGGCCTGGAATCTCTTTCCCATGTCTTCCATCTATTGGTCTAGTGTGGTCGCTAGCTAAATGCCCTCTGTCCCTGCCCCCCATAAAATAGATCATTCTGCCACCATTTCCTTCAAAAACACGAAAATAGGGGCTCCCTTCAAGTGCTCGCTTCTCATGGTCTTTCAACTCTTCTTCTTCAGCCATGAATTCTAAACCAACATTTCCCAAAACACACAAAGAGGGGGAGCTTAGAAACCTCTACGTGAAACAACACTTAAACAGGTTTCCTTCTCCTAGGATTTCTTGGGAACGTTCACGCTGCTGAGTACTGTAGTTCTCTAAAGCAAGGAAAAGAGAAGAATGACCTCCCTCTATTACCAACACTATTTCAACGCTACACACTGTGGGAAATGTAGACGATTAACAGTCCTGATTCTCTCCTCAAGAAACAACCCAGCTTGCTGCTGCCCCTAATGCTCAGAGTGGTGTGGGAAAGGAGGCGTCAAGCTGAACAGTAGGAACAGAAAGGATGGCCGGCCGCTGGCTCTGCAGGCTGTGCACCCAGCACAGATGTTGCGCTGTCCTGGAGAAGCCATCTCGCTGGAACTGTGACCTCCATGTCCCGAGTGTCCCTTATTTTCAGTGCCAATACCCAAAAGATGCCTAATAATTAGTCAGACCTCTTAATAAGGCACAGATTGCTGCAGTGAGAACATAGAACACTTTAGAAAGAAAAATCAAATCTCTTACTCAAGTAGCAAATATGGCTCAGCTTAAGGTTGAACTAGCAGACACTGACGTTATTTCCAGTTTCGATGATTCTGGCATGGATAGCAGGAAGTCACGCTCACGGACCCAGGAACTGGTTGATTCAAATTCACTGATTCACCAATTTCGAAACCCAACCAAACTAGTTCCCAGCCTCCAGATGAAAATTATATAACCACAACAATGGCAGCTCAGTTAAACTGCTGACGATAAGCAGAAGCAAGGAATTCTCAGACACTTTTAGTTGATGGGAATATGGGGGACGTGTAGTCCAAACCTTTAATTTGATGAAAACACGTGTAAATTTCTAATACTAACAATGGGGAAAATCGATCCCAAATATGTATGGTCTAGGTTGATATTAATCGAGCAGGTCAAAGCAAACCAAGAATTTTCATTTATTAGAATGATGGCGTTTGGCCTCAGTAATGCGTACTGATGCCTGCTCATGTCTCCTCCAGCTCACCACCTTCGAACACACCGGTTTGACAGCGGCCCACTCCCAGTACTTGAAATCAGTTACCTGAGGACTTTCTCTGGCCACCAAAGACTTGATGTTCTAACCTGGGCAACGCCAAGGCGGTCGGATCCCTGGTGGCAGTCCCTAGTCCATGACGGAAGGTGAATATTGCACCCGCCCCTGAGATAATATGGCACTAAAGTATGTCCCACAGTTCCCCAGCAGGACTGAGCCCCAGTGGCCCAGAGCGAAAAGTGGCTTTGTACCACGCATGTGCTAAGGAGAATAATGCCCCCACTACCAAAGACATCTACGTGCTACTTCTCCAGAAGCTCTGAAGATAGTGATTTTACAGGGCAAAGGGGAATTCAGGTTGTTAATCTGCTGAGTTTAAAATAGATTTCCTCGATCATCTGAGTGGATCCAATACAATCACCAGGGTCTTTAAAATTGGAAGAGAGAGACGGAAGGGGGGCAGGAGAAGAGAGGATTATGGAACAATGGTGGGAGTGAAATGACGTCACTAGCTTTGCGTGTGGAGGGAGCAGACCCTGAGCCACGGAGTGCAGGTCACCTGCAGACGCGAGGGACAATCAAGGGGATAGGCTCTCCCCCAGAGTTGCCAAAAAAGAACGCACCCGCACCTTGACTTTCACCCACTATGCCCTGGTTTGGACTTCTGATCTACAAAAGTATAAGCTAATAAATGTGTGTGGATTTAAGTTACTGAGTTCACAGCAATTCAGTGTGGCGCCACAGAAAACGCACACTGCCTACTGGTGATTGCCAGTGTCACCTCCCAAAAACGGAACGTCCAGAGACTACTTGCACTAAACCCTTGTCATGGGGCCTTCTTCAGGAGAAGCCCCAATCTGAACGTTGCCTCTACAGGCCCCTTATTTACATCTGCATGTGATCCTTTGAAATTACATAATCATACTTAAATTGTCATTTACCCAAACACAAGCACAAAACTTCTAAAATCAAGACTGAATTTTCTGTACGGAAGTGGCAATATTACTGACAATGGATATTATCAGGATTCCCACTACACGTAGACATTCAGACTTATGAAGTCTACAATCTGCTGCAATTAATCTGACTGAAAACTGTCAGTTTTCACCTGTTCTATCCAAGCTATATTCCTAAAGGCAAAATTTATTTTCTTACTTGTTCAAAATCTTCAACATTCCAGTCCCCCAACATCATACTTCCACCTGTTTTCCCACTACTTCCCTTCAGCTAGCACCTGGCCCAGCCCAACTAGACCGGTTGCTAGTCAATGAACGCTTTTCCCTCGTTTTCTCACACGGTTTCCAGTTGTAAATGCATCAACATCAACTCCAATAGCAACCATTCTTCGAAGTCCACATACTGTAGTATGAGTCTGCGCACAGTGAATAAATGCATCGAATGCTACCTACGCGGGAGCTGACTTTCCTGTCCAGCCCTACCTCAGAACAAGGAGGAAAGAAGTGTGCACCACGCTGAGGGGGCTGATGCACTCCAGGTTCCACGCCCTGCTTTTGCTGATCAACCACTGGCGTTGTTTTCTTTTTATAGTGTTTTCTTACTTTGTACCGTGCTCTGCCAAAGCAGCACGTCACTAGCTGGCTGCTTTACGAGTTTACTTACCGAGGATACTCTGTTCCCCAAAAGAAAGGCTTCTGGAGCTCTCCTGCTGGAAACCCTGGAAGGAATACAAACAAGGAGTCAGAACTGAAAGGGGCACAGAGAGATTGAGTCAGTGAGGAGTACCTGGTTCCAGCTTCAGCCTTAAGGGTCCAGAAGCCCCTCTTAAAGGTACTCCTTAGGGAGCTGGGCGCCCTCCAAAGGATGTAACTGTCACTGGCATGATATTAATTCCACTGGGTTTTTAAAAAGCACATGCCACCAGTTTCAAAGACACCATTCTGCATGGATACACCACCGGCAGCTTGTGCATGCTGTGAGCCAGTGAGCACAGAGCGCGCGTGGCGGCAGTGTGGGCTGGTGCCCCATCAGCCCCCAGACAAGGAGAGCCAGCTTCCCAATGCAGGCGCGCCACTCTGCAGGAAGGCCCTGTACCTGGCCCAGTGCTTCCTGTCAGTCTCTTGAAACCCCAAAAGTAATTTGGTCTTGAACTAGATTTTGCAGGTGGAGCGCACACGGGAGCAAGCACAGGGGCCAGGGAGCCCCATTTCCATGACGCACACCCCTGCTTCCTAGATGCCCCGTCCACAGACAGCCTCCGCGACGCTGCCCAGGGGCACAGGACGCAGGAAGCCCAAGTGTGAGGGACTCGGTAAGGCTCAAAGCAAGGGCAAGGTAAGCACAACACCGTCCAGGACAAAGCGGGCAGGGGACCCTGGCGGCCCCCAAGAAGCGATGGCATCCCAGAGCACACATGCCCGTCATGGTCACCCTCCCCTCGCCTGGCCACGAGCCACATACACTGAAGCTGCTGGTGGGGAGAATGGGAAAGAGCGTCCCTTTCCTTTCCCACATTTCATCCAGAAGCTGGAGAGTGCTGGTGCAGCGCACACAGACTAAGAGTTAAAAACAAAACCGCCAAGTTCATTGATGCAGCATTTCTACTCTTCTGGGCAGAACCAGTGAGCGTGCAGGCTACAAAATACAAACTTCGTGAGCTGGTGCATGCACAGACAAGTTAAAAGTCTTCCATTTGTGCGAACTAAGGACGAATGACAAAATTATGCTACTCATTTAAAACTAATGTTTCTTGCCATTTGCAACAGCATTAGATGGCAAATAAAAAATATCACAATAAGAAAAGGAGGCCACACAAAAAGGGGACAAAACTTTCTAGGATGGCACCTCCAACAGCATGTGGCCCCCGCTTTCTGAACCAGGACCCCCACATTTTCACTTGGCATTGGGTCCAGTGATTACATAACTGGCCCTGGGTGCAGAATCGGGGGAGAAAAGCCTGGCTTTGCCCTTGCAACTCAGCACTGCATCTTCCCCTGAGGTGATGCCAGGAGCTTCCGCTACAAGTCATCCCAGATGGAAATGCATAGCACAGTAGAGGGGGCGGGGAGAGGCCAAGGGCCTTGCCTGCGTCAGAGCCACTGAGCTCAAGTGATTTTTCTTCCCTGGCTCCCTCTTACAATTCTGTCTACCTCACATCTGCAGCAGACACTGCCAAGAGAAGAGAGGCGAGGAAGGCAGGTTCTTCCTTTAAACATGAAGTGTCCCGGGGGTTACAACTGAGATGATAAACTGTACAAAATGAAGAAAGGTGTAAATATAGAGAGAGATATATACACATAATATTTAAAAATTTAAAGGTTGAATAAAAATGCAATGTTAACTCTACGTAACTAACGCATGTGTGTGCGCGCGCTTTCTGTTCTCTTCAAAATGTCATAGCTTGGGAGTTGGAGGTGCTAAGGTGAGCTGCAAACCAAGACAGACCCCGCTGGTACTGACCCTTTTCCTGGTGCTTTAAGAACCATGAAGAAAAATGCATCTGCCTTTGAGGGAGCTGTGTCGCCTTAATCTTTATGTTTTCTACATTTCCTTAAATATCGGGCATCTTTACATCACTATTCCATCCCCTCATTTGGTGATTACTTTTAGTAAATCATTCTGACATGGAGATCTATATATGCAAATACATATTCCATATCTATGCAAATCACAGTGTTTGCATGAGTTTCCTCTCACACAATATATCGTCAAAAAGCAATGATAGTTCCTAATGAAAAGAATGATCGTAAACCAATGTGATTTAATTATTAAATCATTATGACTTCCCTGCTTGGTAATACGCCCAGCTGGAAGCATTGATGTCCAGCGCCAACCTCTTTGCATGAAAACAGCTGACACCTGCCTGCGCCCCGCAACCCCGCCTTCTGCTGCTTTTGCTATCAGAGGGCACCACCCTCGCAAGCCTGCTCAGCTGATCTGCTCAGCCTGTGGGGCCGCGCTGCCCACACTGAGCGACAGTGGCGTCGATGCCCTCAGGACTGTAGCGAAGTGAACGGATTAACTATTGAAGCTGCATTTTTGGAGCTGTCGACTGGAGCTAGTGATGGATCGAATCCCACCTGAGCCAACTGGACATCATAACGTGGATAAGCTGGGTTTCGCCAAGGCAGCAGTAAACAATGAGTGGGAAGGGGATTCTTTTTCCTTTCTCGCTCCTTTTAATAGGCTTAGGCTTCCTTCCATTTTCTTGCCTATCCATTTTGGTTCCTTCTTCTCCCCACCCCGCCTTACCTCGCTATCTGTTTCACAGTGTTAAAGTTCCTTTCTCTATCAGTGTGTGTGTGTGTGTGTGTGTGTGTGTGTGTGTGTGTGTGTTTGTATGTGTGTGAGGGAGAGAGGGAGAGAGAGAGGCAAAAGTTAATAAATTTGATAAAGCGAATACTGGCCAGGGTGCAGGGAGCATGTGGGCGGGAGTGTAAATTGTTGCAAGCACTCTGGAGAGTCATCCAGTCATCTCTCAATGCTTTAAATGCCATTTTAGAAAATGACTGCAGGCTGATATAGAAAAAGCCCTAAGAGGTAGTATTAAATGAAAGAAAAATAGTAAGTGGAAAAATGGAAGCAGCATTCAGTCCAACATACGGGGTCCTTTCACATGCAATGGGCGTGTAAGCCCAAGTCTCCATCTACACACAGACAGTGCTGCTGTGACACTGGAACAGAAAAGGCCAATTTGCCCAACGCAATTGATATCTTGGGGGACAACTAGGCTATAACTCCAGTTTCACATTTGCTTATGCACAATTTCATCCATGCAAAATGGACAGGTGAAAGCAAAATAAAATAAAATAGAAGCCCAATGAATTCCGTCCCACAGGACACACAAAATGCACCCCTCCAACAGGCCCACTCCCCGCATTCGCAGCGTAAGGAGACACCCGCCGCATCTGGGGCAAAAACATCGCTTCTGACTCCAGACGACCGTCCTTCTCCGCCACACAATGTCGCGAGCTGCACACCCTCCGAAGCCCACTTCCACAGCACAGCTCGAGTGCCGGCCAGGGCAGGCAACATATTTACAGTACGCTCCCAGCTTAGTTTTTATCAGGACTGGGGTTTTTTGTTGTTGTTGTTGTTTTTATTTATTTTATTTATAATTTGATTTCTTCTAATCCCTGACATGGGCACAGCGTGGAAGGGAACAAACCTTTGAAAGCTGTTTCTGCCAACTCATTGTTTGCCTGTTTTGATTGTTGCCTTTGTTTTTTAAAGATTTCCTTATTTAGGCATACAGAGCTGGGGTACAGGCCAGAGATGCAGGGGCGGTGAGAGGATTCCCCAGAGACAGAGTGGGGAGCAGAACAGGCAGATGGATGAAGTACACTGCTGAGGGGAGCAGCGGGCGGGTCAGGAGAGGTCTGCGGCGGCGTGTGGGTCAGCTCCGTGGCCGGGGGTCAAACTTGCGCTGCAGTGGCTGCGGAAAGCTTCATAGTGCTGTGCTTTAACCCGTTGCGCCACCAGGGAGGGCCCTGATTGTTGCCTTTCTAACCCCACTTATCCCCCAAGGCTTGTGGCTCTCATGCAGTTTTGCGGAGTGCAGGGACATTGGGAATGTACGCATCACCCTACAGCAGAGCTCACTGCCATGTCAACGAGTGCCTCTCTGCGTGAGCACATCTATTTCTTCCTGTGATTCTCAAAGGCTGCACGCATGAGCACCCCACCAGGGCAATGTGCCAGCCCCACCCTCAGCTCTGAGTCTGGGGGTCTGGAGGTAAGGCTGAGGCTGTGCTGCTCCGACAAGTTCCCAGGGTGCTCCTCCTGGTCCAGGCACCACGTTTCCAGACCCACTGCCCAATCTGTGATGCACGCACACAAATCGTGGCTAAATCACTGCTGAGTGCTGGGATTCTAATGTACCAGGGACCTGAAGAGACAGGAGCCCAGTCGCCCGGTCACTGCCTTGTCCACAAGTTCGGGATGCAATTATGCAGTTTCAGCCATGCAAAATGATAGACGAAAGATTTAAAAAAAAAAAAAAACCACCCAAATGAATTCAGCAACGTCGTAGCACCAGGGATGGTGGGGAGCATGCTGAACACCCTGGGCAAGTCGGGAGCGGATCCCCAGGGGCTGTGGATGTCGACTGCGCTTTGTGCCCAGCTTTGCCCAGCTTTGCCTGTGCGGTGCCACAACAGCCTATGACTTCGTAAGCTCAGTTTTCCAAACAGCTGCCCCTATTTAAAGCTCAGAACCCAGATGCAAAAAATTCATAACTAATTTTAAAAAACAGTTGCACAACTATGGAGACAACTTCCTGACTCAAAGAAAAAAAAAATACATGAAGATGGTTACAGGGCATACAAAGGAGAACTAGCCGGAATTCACAAACAGCTAACTGGCCTCTCTAGCAAGAGAAATCATGCAAAAACGCTTGAAAAGAAAGCATTACCAAAAAAGAAAGTTAACAAGGCTTGGAACTCCAAAAAGACCTTGCTCAGCTTTTAATATTTTGATATCTGGAAGCTCCCAAGCAGCTAAGGATAGCGCATCCCAGGTAATGCTGAAGGCTATAGCTGAAAACTGGAGAATCTTTCTAGTTCTCAAAATCAAGTCTATATTCAACTTGCTGAAGATGATAATATTTGTTACTACAATGAAATGAAATCTTGGGAAGAGCAGGTGATGGAAGCTGGAAGGAACGATCCTCAAAATACATCGCAACTTCATGTCCCCATTGAAAATTGTCATTCGTGA